TGGATATCCTAACTGGGCCTTCCTAAAAGCAGAGAAGAAACCCAAACAGGACTCCAGTCAGCCAACAGGTGAAAAGGAGGAACCCAGACCCAGACCAGTGGTCATTCCATATGTTGAGGGAGTATCAGAGAAACTGAGACGTTTATTTTCTAAACATAACGTCCCAGTGGCTTTTAAACCCCAAAATACATTACGGCAAAGACTGGTTCATCGCAAAGATCCAGTCCCCCGGCACAAACAGAGTAATGTTGTGTATGCTGTTCAGTGTCAGGAGGGCTGTGATCAGTCTTACATCGGGGAAACAAAACAGCCACTGGCCAAAAGGATGGCCCAGCACAGAAGATCAACATCATCAGGCCAGGACTCTGCGGTCTACACTCATCTCCAGGCCAGCGGTCACTCTTTCAGGGATGAAGATGTGCACATCCTGGATAGAGAGGAACGATGGTTTGAGAGAGGAGTAAAGGAGGCCATCTTTGTGAAAAGAAACCGTCCATCATTAAACAGGGGTGGAGGCCTACGTGTTCAATTGTCCCCCTCTTACAATGCTGTGATTGCTAGTATCACTCAGCCCTCTGTGAATAGTACACAGCCATCAGTGTGCTAATGATCCATTGTTAGGCTGATGGTCCTTCTTGAGCATGTGATCAGCTGGTTTTGGTTGTCAGCAGCAAACTGGTTGATCCACTCTGAGAAGGTGCTATTTAAGAGACTGAGCTGAAAAAAGCACCTCAGACTGAAGAAGTCTCTCGGACGAGAGACGAAACGTTTCTACATTTTTTGTTGTTTTTCTTTGTTTTGGGTATTTTTTGAATGTCCAGAGGACCAGATTTAACTTTTTTAGATTTTTCTAGCTGGATTATTGAGCATGCATCAGGAAATTAATATTATTGTTTCATGGAGTCTCGTTTAAACTCACATCTGACTGCATGCAGTTACAGTGTGAGATGTTATCAGTCACAGGTTATGACTGTTGTTCTTGTTCTTTGGTCACTAATCAGTTCATGACTATTGTCACCAATCAGTTCATTTGATTAATAATCAGTTCATTTATTATTAATCTGTTCATACTGAAGAGCCGTGGATCTGCTCTGTTCACAGCCTTTTTCAGCCTCTCCTTTTTTTTTTATTGAAAACCTTTCCGAGGCGTTCATGCACTCGGAACGCATAAATTACACAGTGCGCATCTGTGCATGGTGCGCGTAATTACGCAATGCGTATTTACGCACATGGAGAGCCGAGTGACAAGATGTTTTTTTGGGCAAGCGAGCGCTTCTTATGGTGTTCGAATGGACCCAGTGAGGCGGAGACTACATCTGCTTCGCCCTTAACCCACCAGCGACAGCCTTAAAGGGCGAAGCCTATACGAAATAGAATGTTGGTTACGTACTGTAACCCCAGATTCTATGAGTGTAGGTGTAGCATCGGGCCTCACTGGCTCCTAAATGGCTGAAGAAAAAAGCTATTTGGGAGCCGATTACCCGCTCTTAACTTAATTTATATGGACCGGGTGGGGCCCACACAACAGGTGGGCGTGGACTAATTTTTTCAGTGCAATGCTTTGCATGACGGGATAAACTAACCAGCAACAGCCTTAAAGGGCTTCGCCTATACTCATAGAATCTGGGGTTACAGGACGTAACCAACGATTCATACCAACGAGTTTTTTCTTCAGCTGTTTTGTATACAGACCTCTAAAATCTACAACCTGTTGCTGCTCTTGCCCCAACTTTTGAGATGTGCTGCTGACATTAAATTCAAAATTATCTTTTTTTTTTCTTCCTTAAATGGTACCATTTTTTTAGTAAAAGTATCAAATGCTAATGTTTCATAGTCTAACAAGGTTAAATGAGGTCCTCTGGACAGATTATTTGTTGAAACGTCAGGCCAGGACTCTGCGGTCTACACTCATCTCCAGGCCAGAGGTCACTTGTTCAGGGATGAAGATGTTCACATCCTGGACAGAGAGGAACGATGGTATGAGAGGAGTAAAGGAGGCCATCTTTGTGAAAATAAACCGTCCATCATTAAACAGGGGTGTGGGCCTTCGTGTTTAACTGTCCCCCTCTTGCAGTGCTGTTATTCCTAGTATCACTCAGCCCACTGTGAATAGTAAACAGCCATCAGGGCACTAACGATCCATTGTTAGGCTGATGGTCCTCCTTTTACATGTGAACAGCTAGTTTTGGCTGTCAGCAGCAAACTGGTTGATCCACTATGAGAAGGTGCTGTTGAGTTTGTTGCAGCTCCTCAGATTGAAGAAGTACCGTATTTTCCGGCGTATAAGTAGCAGGTTTTTTTTTGCATAGATTTGTCAGTCCTGCAACTTATACGCCAAAGCCACTTCTATACGTTTTTTTCCCCCATATTCATAACGCAATTTTTCACCGACACTTAAATTTTGAAGAACTGCAACAGCGAGTCCTCCTGTGTGCGCTCGCTTCACTCAGCTGGTGCAGACGGAGGAACGCTGGAGAGCTAGTGGCTCCGGCCGCAATGGATAGATGGATGGATGGCGCCATGCCACCCAGGCAAAATGAAGCTGCTTTGACCATTAAATAAACACATAATAAATGTGACTTATACACCGGAAAATACGCTACTTTGGATAAAAGACTAAACGTTTAAACAAGAAGAATCCATCCAGAGGACCTGATTCAACCTTGTTCGATTGATCAACCTGGATTATTGAGCATGCATCAGGACGATGTTTCATAAAGGGAAAAAATGGGTTTATGATATTGGCAAATTGTTGCATTCTGTTATTATTTACATTTTACACAAAATGCCAACTCTTTAAGATTGAGGATGTAAAAATAAGATTTTGTGTAACTCAAACAGGGTTCATGGGAACATTACCAGAGTCTAGGTGTGAGATTTGTAGCATCCACATATTCTCCCCACAAACAAGCTTCTCCGCCAATCACGAGCTTCTTCTGTTCTTCAGTTCCTGTTTATTGTTTTTAATAAAAAAGATTACCATAAGTCAGTTTATGTTTCTCTGAATGAGTGAAAATAAAGTGTTTTGTTAAATTGTGATTAAATGTTAGTAAAATGATCATTTCCCCCTTCCTTCATTCAACAGGCTTACACTGACTCACACAGTGGTGACATGTCAGATCAGGGTCAGGGGTTCAGCTCAGTCCGAGCTGGATCCAAACAGAAACATAATACATGACTCAAAGTGCTGCTCTGAGTTATCAGCACACGTCTGAAGACATGAATGACAACAAGTGAAGTCTGAATATTAGATATTTTATATCTAATGCAGAAATAAAAGTCAAACATTCCTTAAAAGGATGCAAGTTGCTCGACAGTTTTAATCCAAGATAATCTTACATTAAGAAGGGGCTGAGTTGTTTGTCAGACTCTGTGCATATTTTTTATAATTTCTTGTAACTTGACTGAACGTGTTCAGGAAGACTGCAGAACATTACAGACAAGCTCAACATCCATAACATAACACTGACACATTACACTTTATGTTGCTATGCTTCGCTGGAGCTGTCATCTTGAATGGGATCGACTCCAAAAGGTTTATTCAGTTGTAGATCTTCATCCACGGATCACTTTGAGTTTCATTAAAATCTGTCCACTGGTTCATGAGATATTTTGCTAACAGTACAGACATAGAAAGATATGTGATCACTCCACACCTGGGAGATAATAAATGTACTTTTACCTCTAAATGATGAGTTTGTGCTTCAGATTGTTGTTGCTGAAGTAAAATAGTTTTGAACTCAAACCAGGTTAGTCTGGAAACTTATCTGTAATTCCTTTACCACCAGCCATTGAAAGGGGGTGGGATGACAATGGGGGCAACAGTAGCTCAGTGGTTAAGTGCCACAGCCTTGTAATCCTGGTTTAAGCCCAGGTTGTATCAAATAGTTCTGGCATAAAATAATTGCCAAATATTTCATGCAAGTTAATTCACTGCAAAAGGGAGCAGCTGAAAGAAAACCTAACGGGGGGGGTTAAAATGTCTCAACAACCATATCAAAAACTCATGACAAACACGTTTCCAGAAATATTAACAGAACTTCAAACAAAGTTCAGTCAGGTCATCTGGACGTTTTTCGTCTTTCATCCGAAGGACTTCCATCAGTCCGAGGAGCCACAAACACACTCAGTCCCACAAGCAGCACACTCACATAGAGGACCAACCAGTTTGCTGGTGAGAAGACAGTTTCTGGGCCCACCCTCTCCCTTGTCGACTCCTCTGAGGCAGCCATGGCCGACGGCTATAGCTGATGAAGTCCTTTGGATGAAGGATGAAATGTCTCAACAAAAAAAATAAACCGTCCAGATGACCTGACTTTGTTGGATTTTTTACCTGGATTATTGAGTTATTAACAGAACTTGTTTCTATGTGGGGGTGGGTGAGTGCTCCTTCACAAACTGATGTTATATGTTCTCAAAGAGTTCTACTCTCCTCTGGTTTCCTCAGATCGATGTCCTCACAGAGTCTGGCTCCGTCATTGAAACTTTCCATTGGTCATCGCTCAGGGATCTTAACTCTGTGTGTAGTATGAGGTACATATTCAATGGTTTATTTTAGATTTGCACAAACCTTCAGACAATAGAACCTCCTGATGATGATACTAACTTCTGAACAAGACGTTCAGTATCTTGGCTCATAGGATGGTACTGATAGGAAATGGTAGTTTTTATACTTTTTTTCCTTCTTTCGGCTGCTCCCTTCTTCGGGGGTAACCAACTTGCACATAGACATGACAATTGTTTTTACGCCGGCTGTCCTCCCTGACGCAACCACAGACCACCGAGCTACCACAGCCCTCTGTGTGGAGCAGAGAGCTGCTGTGTAGGGCGCCCGGGGGATCAGATGGTGGTGGTTGAGGGTCTTGCTCAAGGGCCCAGAGTGGAACAAATGAGGGTGGAGGCAGGTGTGGGTGTTTCATCTTTCCCACCCACATTTTGATGTTATCGGTACCGGGAGTTGAGCCAGTGATCCTCCAATCACAGGCTCACCTTCACTAACCTCTGCGCCACCACTCCCCTGGCAGTTCTCATACTATTAGATTAATATGGAAACAATCTAAAAAGTACTTTTATTTTTTTATTGCCTGCCTTTTATGGGCAGGCATTTACATAGTGTGTGTGTGTGTGTGTGTGTGTTAGCAAAATATCTTATGAACAACTGGAAGGATCTGAATAAAACCCAAGAATTTATCTTTGAATGTACATACACTGATTTTTTTTTTTATGAGTCAATCCAATTTAAAATGGCTGCAACTTCTAACTGATCTTAGCCAACACAAAAATATTATAAATATTTAAAATAATTTTAGATCATTTTAAAATAAGTAATTTTAGACTATACAATTTGTTTGTTTGCATTTAATAATAATGATGATGATTCTGTAATTTTACTTAGACCAGTTCTGTGAGTGAAAGATACAAATCTGTGTAAAATAAGACCCATAACCAGGTAAACGGGTCGGGACCCAACAACAACTATAACAAATTAAACAACAAAAAAAACAATGATGCAGACACAAACCCTTAAAGTCCTGCGGGTCGACCCTGTACATGCCCTGCCAATCCTGGCCGTAGGCGATACGGTTCAGGTACCAGGGAGAGGACAGCAGGGTTTGGTACCCTGCCGCTGTAACATTCTCCATCTCCATCTGGTATTTCTGCTCGTCTCCTTTCCAGATGTGGATAAGTGTGTCTGGTTTCAGCTAAACAGCACACACATATGAAGTGATCAGTATCAGCCAGATCAAAAGCCATAGCTCATCTTCATTCACATCATGACATCTGCAACAAATGTCATGGAGGATCTTCAGTCTTGGACCACTTTTATGAAGGACCACTCTTGTCTCCTGGCTCATGGGGACATACCCGTCACCCCACAGGGGTTTGGAGAGAAGGTTTTAATGGGCAGTGTGGGTATTATTTCAAATTGACCATCAGCCCCACCACCCCATGTTCCCCCTAACGTCAGTCTGACTCATCACAACTGTGCAGTTTTTGTAAACCTGTTGAACCAAAAATCAAATTCTCTTTCATAAATTTGTTGATTCGAGACAAACAGAATTTTTCTTTGAAACTGACCATTAAAGTTGAGCGGCTCAACCTTGTAGTACCTCTGCCAGTCCTGTCCGGTGCTAATATAATCTAAGTACCACGGGGCGGAGAGGATGGTGGTGTATCCTGCTGCCGTCACATTGGCAACCTCCTTATCACACCCTCCTCCGATCCACACATGAACTACAGTGTCAGGCTTGAGCTGCAGGTGTTAGAGGCCACGCTTCTGCTTTTAGTTCAGTTACATCATCAGATCAGTCACTGGCTAAAGCTAAAGAGCTAAAGGAATAGTTTGAACTGACCGCCTGTATCAGGAGATCAACATCTCTTTAGGTCTGTGTCAAAAATTTGGACAAACCCAGTTTGTTTTGCTGGTAATTTTTTCAACATGTCTGTAATTTACAAGTAATTAATGATTTTGGGCTTTTTAATGGAGGAGTAAATGGAATAGCTTCAGCTGTTCAGATTTTCTTCTTGAGAAGATTCGTGTCAGAACAAAAATTGCATCTTTTTTGTGAAATTTGAATTGACTGGGACCAATTTGCTTTTGGTGCTTTATACATATCTACCAATAAGTCTACTGACATCTGCTTTAGGATTGATCAGTCACTTGGTAGAACAATGAAATACAGTAGCCCCTCGCTACTTCGCAGTTCGTTTATCGTGGACTCGCACTCGCTCTATCGCGATTTTTCAAAATAAGATTGGACATTACACACAATTGGCTGATTGATGGATGAGCTGCACGATCAGCATGGAGTTTTTTATTTAAAATTAATTATTTTAAATAATTTAGCACCTCCTGCACCTCTGTGCAGCCCATACTGCAGGATAAACTTCCTGCCGCAGCTGATCACCTGTTTTCAGTGCAGAGCTGAGAAGTGGGCGTGGCCAGGAGGCTTGTAGGTGGCAGGGAGCTGAAATCATGACAATCTGTGCTCTTTAGAGCGTTTAGAAACATTGTTTAGAATTTTGCTAGAGTGTGGGAAGGATTTAAAATGCAATACAATATATAAATATACATATATACATACACATACATATATATACATACATATACATACATACAAACATATATATATATATGTATATATGTATATATACATATATACATACATATATATATATATATGTATATATGTATATATGTATATATACATATATATATATACATATATACATATATATACAGGTCCTTCTCAAAAAATTAGCATATTGTGATAAAGGTCATTATTTTCCATAATGTAATGATAAAAATGAAACTTTCATATATTTCAGATTCATTGCACACCAACTGAAATATTTCAGGTCTTTAATTGTTTTAAAACTGATGATTATGGCATACAGCTCATGAAAACCCAAAATGCCTGTCCCAAAAAATTAGCATATTTCATCCCACCAATGAAAGACAAGTGTTTTTAATACAAAAAACGCCAACCTTCAAATAAT